GCTATTGACTTCATATGCCTATTTAAAAATCCACTTTAGGTTGTACTCAATTGTCTAGATCAGAAATGTAGGACTCATGCATACTGTCTTTTCGCTCTAAATCGTATTTGGTGTTCTCACTTTGTTGTGATATCATCGATTTCAGTTCCAGCACGATAAACTCCGTTGTTTGGAACCGCATGGTATTACATGTCTGACCATAACGATGGGCTCCATGTTATATTAATCCATCAATATATTTAGCGAGTCGTCAAACTCAAATAAATGTGCGTTTGCTGTGTTACAAGAAAGAAAAACGGATCTTTTGTCGTATTTATCTCGATACATGTAAGTATTTTACTCCTTTTTGCGGTGCTTCTTCGAGGTTAAAGACAGTATCAACCAATATAAAATCGCCCAAAAAATTGATTTTAACTTTAAGACCAAAGATATAGCCTACTTAGAGCCTATTCAAATCAGTAGCAGGCCAATACATTTTAATAATGCCCCTGAAAAGTATTGGTGATGACTCAGACCAATACTTATTTTATTTATGCAACTACTATTGGTATATCGTGTCGAATCGACATGATTTTATTGTCAATGCTTAAACCAATTTATGGGCTAAAGTACTTTTACGAAGCAGGCCTCTGTATCCAAGGTGAAATGTTATGAGACGGTACATCTCATTTTGCCTAGGGAGAGAATACAAGGTCGATCACGCCGCATATTAATGCTCTTCCGTTTTTTGGCCTCCTCTCAGTTAAAAGTACTTTTTCGCTCTGTGAAGCGTCATGTTGATACGCCTGTCTGTTTGAATGATGTTGGCTTTATTCCATTAACAAAATGACCAAAGTTGCCGCCGTGCATTAATGTGACATTGTCTTCTCTGTCTTACGTTGTCATTATCAATGCCAACCAATGTCCGTATGCTAGTTAATATATGACACTGATGCCGACACCGATTCTGTTGTAATTCTCCGTAGTTATTTGACACTATTTGATCCCAATGGTAGCTCAAAGGTTACGATTTATTGTTTTTTTTTCTTTTCAAACACATATCTTTAAATTGTTAAGTTTGCTAGTATTTAGTCCATATGAAACAGATTATCTTCAATTAGATTTCTAGCACTAACAAATAAAATAACTTCAGGTTTCTTTTGTAATTAATTGCCTGTATAATTTAGGTTCATTTCGTTTTAAAACAATAGATCATTTCGCGACAGGAATTAAGTAATTATTCATATGTTTGTAATGATTTCCACCAAAGCCCTCTTTTTCAAAAGCGATGAGGGACAATTAAATGTCTGTATATATATATATATATCTGGATCCGCCATGGGGAGGATAGCACAGGTCCATATGTACCTATTTAGGCAAGATTATAATGACAATTTGGATACCGTAGACACATTAATGCATGTCTTTGATGTAACAGGTATGCCTGGAACACCCGTCTTCACTTTTATCTGGTCTAAATGACCATAAACCCGATATGGTTCATTCTCAGTTGTCCATATATTAGACGGTATTTCAGTATATGAGATGTTTAAGGTGGATTTGAAGTCATTTTTTTCTGCCACAAAAGCTGGCCAAACGCCACTGCTTAGTTTCAAATAGTGTAACTTGGGGAAATACCAAATGATATCGTTGCATAATAGCCGAAAATGATATTTGAAGGGGTATTTTCTGCTTACTCTCTGTGCTGTATATAATCGAGGCAGATAAGTAGGTCTGATAAATAAGTCAATTTATTACCAAAACTTTGAAGAAGGTGCAATTTTAAATGTCTTTTTGCGGCCGATCGAGTGATTGATTTGGTTTGTCCCTTGGCATGTTGACTTTGTTTGAGTCGTATAAGAAACTAGTAGAAGTGGTTTAAAATGCGTTACTGGGAATTCACGCTCGATATATCTTTAAGCTTGCCAGTTATTTGCTATTCCCTTTTTTTTAAGAGTCAGTCAGTCAATATTTCATTAGCTATTGTAGAGTTTCGCCGGAGAAGGACTGGAAAACAAAATTTATCAAATTGACGAATTGACTAATAAGGATATCTGCGGTAATCGATAAAAACGAAAACATACTTTGGTTGGAGCATTATACCTTGTTTTTTAACCTAAATTTAGATATCGTGATTTAAATAAACAAAGGGGTGATTTAGTGAACAACGAGGGAGATTTTCTTAGACGTAAACAGCTCATTTAAAATGTGACGTTAAACATAGATACAAACCTCAACCGATAATCGGGTTTATTAGTATAGCTGATAATAACATATAATTTGCCAGCTGATTCTGCCACGACATTGCTCATACGGTGTAATTTATCCTTATAATAACTTGTTTCTTAGAATTTATTTACCATTTTGTTCCAAATATACGCCCATCCCGTGCGTCATCTTATTACTTCAATCTGTCATGAAATACTTTGGCAGAATGAAATGCTTGTACTATCCGATTACTTTGCACATCGTAAGCCTAAGGGTCTAAAGATACTATGTTTGTCAATGCAGAGGGTTTCATTATTTATGCTGAAAGTTTCATAAGTTATAGCCAAAATGTTTGAGTGAAGAATAAAGGTAAGATAAAGAGAACATCAGAAACAAAATAGAAATGACACGGGACCAGAAGCAACATTTTATGGCAAAGTCTTAAAAAGGTGGATATTAAAAATGCATCGTTTTTATTTGAAAAATATTTAGTAGTTGATTTCAATAAATCTGAAAATCGAGTTTGAAAGAAACTGCGTGGCTGTACATTGTAGGATCTTGTTGTTGTTGTTGTTGTTGTTATAGTTGTTGTTGTTGTTGTTATAGTTGTTGTTGTTGTTGTCGTCGTGTTCGGTCCTAAAACCACACGTGTCATATTTGATCTATCGTTTGCTGTTTTCAGTATGTTACACAGGAAATTCATCGAATGATAGACTTTGTGGTCTGATTAACTGATTACTGTTTTGTTTTATGATTTGAAATAAACACAGAGCTAATTAATTAGCCATGTTGGATAACCAAGCCCATGCGTAAGACGCACACGTCATATTCATATTTTCTCTAATTGTTATCAGGTTATTTGTGAAAGTGGATTGAGTCGGGGTATTTGCTTCGGATTCCTTAAACTGAAATCAATACTGATTAAAAAACGCTTTTTGGAACCTTTACCTGCCTGAGAATGCGTCTACCTATTAAAGAAAACGATCTAAATGACCCTGATAAAATTGAAATAAGGATTGAAGCTTTCAATTTTCGAAACCCGAAATTTTAAACACACGGAATCCTTCACTTTATCTCCCCTACATCTCCATTCACAAGTGCTACATATCAATTAATCCTACTGATAAAACAAAGCTCCATAGTTAACGGTATTATTGGTACCAAACACACCACAATATTGATATGCGAACGGTGGTCCTAATCGCCCTTTTACATGTTATTTACAATCCGACTTGGGGATTTAGAGCACAATGTTAGGCCATATTTGTTCCAAACACAACGGGTAATCTTTGTGATGCATACTGAGGATCCATGATAACAAATTGGCTTGTTTTGGTGCTCATTGCCTTTTCAGGGGATTAAAATTGCCTTGCCTACCAATACGTACGTATACACACTGGGAGTCTGTTTCACACACACACACACACACACACACACACACACACACACACACACAAATCCTGGTAATTGGTCTAAACTCTACTTTGATCCAAGATGACCCACCGGTTGTCCAGTTATATGAAATACTGCTACTGTTTTATAACAAGACATTTAATATTTCGGACCAAATGCTTAAGTGCGTAGCGATAAATATGTCTTGCACTGAAGTGGCCAAGTTTCAGTCGCAACGTTCACATCAACAAATTGCGGATGTTTTTTTTTAAGCCAATCGGCTACAAGTATGTGGATGTTGACGCATTTCCTAGTGTAGATATGAGATATGCCGTACACTTTGGTGTCGAATAGAAAATTAATGTCTATTTTCAGAAGTAGATTAATGTGACAAAGTCATGTAAAGTTCAACACAAACTTTCTAGGCCTTTGCATTCATCCTTCCATGTATATTGTGGTCGTCACGAAAAAAATCAAAATCAGGCTGGTAGAAACATCAATCTTTTGCACAAAAGTACATATACGATAAGATAATAGTTTGGGGCCTAGATGTATGTAAACAACAATGATACTGTTTACACAAACCTAACCTTATCGGGATATCTGCCCAAAACCAAAAGTGAATTTTGGGCAATAAATAATAAAGGGCTTGTATATGAAACTGTTTGATATAGCAAAATAACAACAAAAAAAATAACAAGTATTCCTTTACTTAATCGCATTTTGGAATTAGCACTATTCTTAACGTTTGATGAACTTTACGAACAAGCGCCCCATTGGCACTTATATTCAATACGTGACATGTATAGGTTTTTAGCTCCAACCTCTTTAAGGTAAACTTTGTTAAACACGTGAAGTATCAATTCTTTGACTCTAGTGTTGGAAGTTGCGTTTTTATATGTAAACTAAAGCAGATGATGAAAATAGATTATGATTTGGCAACGTGTTATACTTCACCGTGATAAAACGTGATGTATTAAACCTCAAGGGTGCACTGACTAGTGTAATTCAGTTTCTCTTTGGTATATCTGCACACTTTACCATCTTGCCTCTGTTATCAGGACTATGTTTTATACGTTTGGTCTGTTCTGCAAACTTTTATCGGTTTAATTTAGTTATTTTTATTCCATAGATATGTCCATTTACATAAGTACATTGTAGTTGAGAAGATTTATATTTGTAGATTGATATAAACTTTTATAAAAATGTTACTTTATTTTTAGTCATACTCAGTTAAGGTCGTTATTGCTTTTCATTCTGTATTGCAGAGTCCCTGTTTAGCTATTTAGTCTGAAATGTATGTTTTACTAAAGGGTGGTTTTCAATCTCTGCGAAAGAGTAGGCCTATGTTTTAATGTCACGTAACATACACGATAGCCAGTTAGGCGACTCTTCTTCACAAGTTGTGTTTTCCACAAACGATATACTTCTTGGCCCGGCTTCACAATTTTCTCTAGCTCCAAACTTTCAAATACTAACGTTGGTCTACTGAAGTTCTACAAAAAATGTATATAACCCCACTTGAATAAGGTTAAGTTGGTCTGTAGTATTATACTTGTTCTCCTTGTCAAGAAACAAGCGCAGTGTTTCATGTTTACGACTTCTTCCCATTTATTTTATTAAAGACTGGATCATCAAGTGTTAACCAACTTTAATTTCATGCTGAAGTTCATTTGAGAAACGTATCCCATAATAAGTAAGGAAGGAAGCCCCCGTTCTTCGATGTAAATATCCCATCTTCTTTCGATTCAACACAAGACGACACTAGTGTCATCTATCGTCCTTTCAGGGTGGGGATATGTATAACCAGCTTCTGACGTAACTCTCCAGCAGTCGACTTAAAAGTCTACACCCAGATCTTCAGTTATATTTCAGTACTTATAGCTTATCGCTTGCTCTCAATACTTGTTGTCGTCATAACTTACATCCAAATGCTGATCATAACAACTGGTGTTAACTGTGACTTAATTGCGCCGGTAATAAATAAGCCCTGCTGGATTTTCGCCTAATGCCTGTGGTTCTTGACGTTTTCTTGGAATATGAACAATAACACTTGGATATTAAGTGCATGGAGTCAGACGCCAATTTACTATTTTAAGATAGATTTATCACGATTTAATCTTTCTGGTTAAATGAAGTGATTATTTCTTATTCATAACTTTTACCTAGAACGAACTTTATGTAACAGAACAGCGTCACGTTTTATAAAGAGGAGTCTATCAGTGCATTTACATAACAAATATTGCTTTACATTTATAAAGATGCTTGAGTTGATTACTCAATTTCTATTTTATACTTCCAGAAAAGAAATTCCCTCCCAGTGGCAGTAAAGGCAACGGTTTCATATCTTAACTTTATCAGGTAAGTCTAACACTGTATCGATAGGTTTTCATCCTCTCTTTCTGTCTCTCTCTCTCTCTCTCGCTAAAAATCCAATTAGATTTTATCATCACATTTCCAAGCCGCGAAACTTTGCTGATGGTTTATGCTTGCATCATGTACACCTTAAAAGGGAGACCTTTGACATTATTCCGTGCATATACTAGAAAAAATCCAGATCGGTGTAATTTTAGAACACCTACTGTTACCTTGGGGTATGGTGGCTGCCAAAAATATGCGTAGCCTTTGGTTCAACTCAATGGGTCGGTCTAAAAAATACTTTAAGAAGTCCTGAATGGTCTAGATTTAAGGTAAATTTGTCACCTACTGCATATCATGATCTATAAATCCATAGTTGTCCATTCAGATAATGCACTGCTCTGTTTGGCTTGTTATACAACAGACACAGTATTTTAGTTTATTGTAATTGTCCTGATTGAGCATCGGTCAAAGTAGTCATTTTTTTTCTTTTTTTTTTTTTTTGTCCAAAGATTTAGACCAATTTTGGAGTTTGATGATCTTTTGTTGAATTCTCTACCAAGGGTATTCAAAACTTGTGCCGAAGAGATTAAACGGCGTAATACTTTTAATTTTGATGATGGCATATATGTTAACACATACTGTGGTTCGCGGGAAATGCATGATTGGTATTAATGCATTCCAGGGTTAGAAGGGAACGCATTTGGTTGTGTCGCCGCGTGACGGAGGCATTAAAAGTGTCACCTGTGTCACACTGGCTGAGGCACGAAATGACTTCTTGGTGACATTGAGTTTGTGCGACATTCCAGGCGTTATTATATAAGATTGCTGCAAAGAGTTTACATACTCACATATGCACACAGACAGTTAAGGCAGACAGACCGATGGACAGTCACGCAGACAGACAAACAGACAGACACTGAAACAGCTAATTATGAAACGTAGGATAGAAGAAAAAATCATTTGTTCAACGTTTTTGAGAGAAAATCTTGAGTATTTTCATACATGTAGTTCCCAACAACAGCCCATACGTATATATTTGCTTGGCAATTATAGATATCTTGTGTGTTGGGTAAATCCGCTTTACCTGGATTTAGAATGCAGTTTCCCATGGCTTTAGGAATGATGCCAGTTTTGCTTTATGGTCTGCATGTCATCGAAAAAGTACGGTAATTTCGGTATCACATTTCGCTCTTTGAAACTCAGTGAACCTCGCATTCAGAGTTAACATACTGTGAATGCGGGTTTGTCATTTTATAAAGAACTGTGCATAGATAAGAAATTGGAATGAGAACATGGCTCTCTATCCTTATCTGTAAATGCTGCAGCAGTATGTAAGGGTTAAGATATTCTGATAAGTGTATCCAAATGTGAAGAAATACAGTGAAAACGCAGCGCATTGTCCGTTACTGTTTCATTTCATTTGCCTGGATGCACAGGTTTTCGTCGTTTGAGAAAAAAAAAGGACCAACTGCATTTTACATTATAATATTTAAGAGTGGAAATAGCTGATAATATTAAGATAGATTTAACCCAAAACTTTTCTTACACTACAGCTGTAATTATTTAAAAACAATTGTCCAAAATTGATCTCGATAATATTTTGTATTTCCCATATGCAAGAAACGTCAGATATATATCAATGTTCGAGCCTCATGTAAAGTCACGGTAACTTAAAGACTGTACCGCCCTACAAAAACTACGTGTGCCCTTGAGTTTTTGTGGTATCATTAAAACCACATCGAAGACTCTCAGGTGTTATAATTTTTCTAAATGCGGAATGCAAGTGAATACACCGTCGGCGTGGGTCGCGGGGTTTTAAAAGCCCTTGTGTTATTTTCCCATGAGTAAATGAACTTTTTGCGGTATTGGGTTATAGAAAAATATACTTGAGACATTCTGTCACTTCGGCATGCGCGTGTAAAGTTGGAGTGTTCCCTGAATAGGTTCTGAAACTCAAATTGTCTAATTAATTGGTAACTTTATTAAGTACAAGAAAGATTAAGTTTCAGGATTCTGCACGGGAGAGAGGAAGGGGGGGTTGTCGGGAGGATTTTATTAACCAAACAAATAAAATATACAGTAGTACACGAAGACACTCAATATGTGGGGCACACGATTGAAGAAAACACTTGGGATTTGTCGTACTTCGTTTGTTCCACTGCTTTTTGGGATGGGAAGGAGGTAAATCCGATGTTAAAGAAGGGACACGTGCCTCTTCTAAATCAGCCGTAGTCTTCATACATAACATGGGATAAACACACGTGTTTAAGTCTATCAAAACCAATAAACTGTAAGAGTTAAAACCAGTCATTCGACTGTCGCATTATCTTAATGGCTGTTATTTGTTATGGCTTCTATATCCTAAGTAAATTGCTGACATGTAGTGGGGCTTTCGATACATTGATTAATGCCTTCATAGGTGTAATCAAGTGAAGTACACTACTTTTATCTTAATTGTATTTACGAGATAGCCGCCATCCTATTGCCGTTCATTAGCAATCATGTCTCTGAAAAATGGCGGTAATCATTATACATTTGTAAGACCTGTTCTTGGGATAAAGGTACACTACTAAAATTGGATAGACGACTACGCAAAGTCCTCATTGCCATATTGGTATCGTAACTTTCGAAACTAAAGGGTTAGCAATAATTGGGCTATTTCCACCAGTGAGAGTGAAAGTCACTGTCAAACCCATTAGCGGGGTTTTTTTTTTTTCAGTTTCATCATTATTGTCACAATTACTGACATATGTTTTGCCATTTGAACCCAGGCATATCTTCAAATCGTGATGTTAGTTCGGACAAAACTAGTTCAGACTGAAGTCGGCCCCTGTCGCGTCTCCTGGCAACCAGGTTTCAGAAACCAATTCTACAAAATGGCCAAAGACGTAAAATTTACCGAACGAAATGTAAGTCGTCTTTGGCTCACGATAATTCAATAATAGTCCATCTTAGATAAAATAAGAACTGTCCTGAAGCATTAGGCGCAAATTTTAATTTTATTTTATTTTATTAAGTACTACCGATTTATCTGGCGTAAAACTTTATTTATATATTGACCTTAAAATTAAGGTCAGTTTTCGAGTGATTCTGACAAACACCTCCTAAAAGGTCTAAACGAGACATTCGTTTTGGTAGCCGTCAACACGATCGTAGTGCCTCGTTATCAGGGAGCGCAATGATTGATGACAGCGACTTAATTATTCGCATTGTCCGCGCATCAACAGCTGTCTTCCGAAATATGCGATCGGAGACAGAAGTATGTAGACAAGGATTTACAGTCAGATAATCAATAATACCAGCCATCGGGGTATGGGAATTCATACGCACACCTCTTATGGTTATAACTTATAACTCACAGCTTGCGAAGTGGTCAGACATTCATTGCGTTCGTGGGTTGGCAAGTCCCTACTCCAAGTATGATATTTTTACGTGAATCTTTCGGATAAAGGTAGGTTAGTATATCGTTTAACGTTGAACATTTTTATGATAATGTATTCTTGAGCTCCTTTTTCTTCCATCACCACTACTACTTAATTATTAATATTATTGCTTCTATATTTATTTTTATTAACTTATTCATCATAACAAAAATATAGGAATCGAGATAAACGATATTTAAAGTCTTAAAGCGCTGCAGAGTCCACACAACCCGTGCATCTGCAAGAATTTCTAAGACGCTAAAAAGAAATGAAAAGCACGTTTTTATAATATCTTTAACTGCACGTGCTCAAACAGGTGCCTCGCGTTCACTTTTCCTGTCGCTAATCACGACAGGCTAGTAAACTGTGGCTAACTGTAAACAGGGCATCAGGTGTGGTTGGTTGCTGTGGTAACGGTGACGACTTGCTGGCTGTAGACCAAGCACGGTTAAATGGGGCTATGCCGGGCGACTGACCAAAGTACTATTCTGATGCAGCGGTTTTGTAGTGAGCGGCTCCGTAGTAATTTGGTGCATTTTCTCCGTCTCCAGATTCAGATATTCACAGTCTTGCCCTGGATAACGCGCATAGGGAAAGTGTTAAATTTATTTACATCGTAACTATTTCGATCAAATTTGGACCCGATTGAAAAAACAGTGATCTTCTCGATTTTGTGTGCAGTATACTTTGGCTATATGTGTGGATCTGGTTTGCGTATTACCTAATTGTTTGCTCTACTTCCTGGTTGCCGCTGCGGGACCGTGTTTCAGTAGATCGGGAGTCGTTCAGAACGAGGAAGTTGAACGCAGACGCAGACCAAAAGGCAGTTTACAACGTATAGTAAGTTATGGTTTCGTCGCCTTTCTATTTTACATTGCTTTTCACGTTGTTTATACCCATAACTACATTTTGGGAGGGGGTAGATTAGAAATAGGTATTTAGGCAGGCAGGCAAGCAGGCATACAGACTGACAGACAGACATGCAGGGAGATAGATAGACAGGAAGACGGACAGTCAGAAAGGAGGAGGAAAGTGAAGCACTGATCTCATAATTCTTTGGGGATATTATTGAGATACTGACAAAATTTAAGAGACAAGCACAAGATGGAAATTTGACTAACTCAAACTTTTTTTTTTAATATATCCGGTGCCAGTTGACATCTCGAAGGACGTACAAGTGCACTGATGAACTTGGCATATCACTGAGTCATTTCACATACCAGAGAGGCTTAAAATGACCAGTCAGTTATCTAACTTGCTGACTCAAAGTCGTGGAAGGCAGTGTCTCCAGCTGAGCGTAACACGGGTATTTGACGTGGTGAATGGGACACCGTAAAGAAATGACCCTTGTTTCATCGGGTTGCTGAATTCCGATATGGAGGCCTGTTTTTCCGCTATGTGGGTTTTCATGCCGCGGTAAATATGAATGGAAAACGACAGGTTGTTTACCGGTCCGGATCCTTACTTTTTCAATTCTCACTGGACATACATATATTCGCCCCTAATATATATATATATATATATATATATATATATATATATATATATATATATATATATTGCCGTATTTATCATTTCTATGGAAAAGCCTCTGTTGTCGGTTAGATTATTTTTGCACCTTTCAGAAACTGTGGTGATTACCAAAATTGGTGCTGAGAGCCTCATCATGAGCAGTGCTTCTTATTAAAGTGATCGAAAATATGTCGCAATAGAGAACTCTCCGTGTATGCTATACACATGCGTTTTGTATGTGCTTGTGTGTATGCTCGCGCGCGTGCTTAGTTCAAGTCTTAGGCCGCATTCACATCGAGTTGAGCCATGGCTCTACAAAGCCACGACCTAAATATGGCGGAGAGACTATTAAAATATTAGGCGGTTTTCCTTTCATGTACGGTCCGCCATATTTAGGTCGTGGCTCAACTCGATGTGAATGCGGCCTTAGGATCACTCATGTCTGGATCGCTTACATTTGAATTTACTTGCGCTCAATGGGAAGTTCCTAGATAGATGTGTGCAATTACTGTAATGTCTGTAAGACCTCATTCAGAACAGGGGACTGAAGATCCACGGATCAAATATGGCCTACCCATTTGAATGCTTATTGCCTAATCCCCGCAGGAAATCTATTCAGTGTCAATTCCTGAATTAAGCTGTAAGCTTTTTAAGTGGGTCGCCATATTTGATCTGCGGATCTGTTACTCCACTGTTCTGAATTGGCTCTATAATCATGTTCGAATGTTAGGACACATATCTAAATGTACGTGTTGATCACTTTAGTGAAAGTTGTTAAATGTTTCAAAGCCCTAAAGGCTGTGTTAATAAGTCGGTTGTGAAGCGGGGTCGACATTCATAAGAGAACAAACGTCTAACATGGTCTTAACTTACCTACCGAAATATTTGGTATATTTTGGCCTAGAATAAGTCAATAGTGTTAGTGGTCTTCTATCATGGGGATTATGGTTTTGTTTACCAACGAAGAGAAAAAGCTGCTCTTTTTTACCTGTTTAGCGAACTGTCTCAGATATATACTTTACCTGGACTTAAGTCTAAATAGTGGACTATAATAATCATTCTTAAAATCTAGACCGACGCTTTTTATACTTATTTATTTATTTTATTATTTATTGTTCATTTGTTTATTCATTTATTTATTGTTTTTTGGAGCTGTGTGAACCGTACCCAGATCTCAAGAGTACAAACCAACTCTTCCCGGACGTTCTATTGTCTAGCCGGTCCCCAGCCTGTGCCGGCACACTCAGGGATCGGGCGGTTGACCCTTGCTATCATAGTGTAAACAATCCCCGCAGTTATGTGGGCTCCTCCCTTTGACTCAGGGCTTGATTTCAGTCTTTATGTAAGGACGATTACGTTTTAAAATCCGCCCAGAGTGCGTGTGTCATACGGAATGCAGGTGCATCACGCCCAGTATAGGCGAGTCTTCAGAGAGCGTCGTGGACATTTGGTTGCATCCCCCACTGACGTTGACAACGTACGTTCGTACTCTTCAAGGACGTAGATAGCGGCGTAGTTGACGTACCATTCATGATATGAACTCGTATGTATCATTTTTTTATTATTATTTACGCGCATTACTGCATACTTGGGTGAATATTGAAGGGGATTTAGAAGTACTTTAGGACCAGCATGTACACATGCGTTAAAAGTGAACATATGTGCGGTTGAATATCCTTTTTGAAGAAAACGTTTTTTTATTGGCGAAGACTACTAATCTTGTGGGTCATTGAATAATCTGCTTAGTTGTCAGCAAACTTTAAGGTGTACAGTTCACTGGCGGAAAGGGCGCGTGTTCCCTACCTTGATTTCGGAGGCGTCCCCTACCCCCCCCCCCCCCATCTCCCTCATAAAAACAGTATGGCAGGATAAACACGAGGAAAAAAGTCATTTGTCCATCCTACATATCCGAAATAATGACTTAGAAAGCTAGAATGTTTGCTTCGCTTGCCATTGCATAGGATTGGGTGTAAAGGCATTTGTTGGTTTGTTGTAGTCGCCTTCTTGCGTGGGTGTGAATATCTGGATGTGTGCGCGTGTGTGCCTATACGTACGTGCGTTTGAGCACATCAGAGCAGTCATACGAACAGACCACGTGCAGAAAGCCGGAAGCGTGTATTTGTGTTATTTCCATTTTTTATACAAATGTACATCAGTGACATTTCTATTTAGCAAAGCACTCCAACTACAGCTTCCGTTCTTTCGATACATCTCTGGTAAAGAATGGGATGTATTTATGGTTATCTAACTTCAGCTAAGTGTTTAGTTTCAAAGAACACTTGATGTAGACATGTTTAAATATCAGTGGAAAAACGAGTGTTGTTGCATTAGGCGTATTTGGAACAGAAATAAGAGGCAAATTGTTATTTATTGTAACGCAAAGCTAACAAATGCAAAAAAAATATATATATATATTGTGACTTGAAGTATGGGCCGACGTCCTGAAACAGTTTGCCCATTAAAATATCGAAATACCAAGTCAGTGCATTTTCTGTGTTCAAATAATAACAAGACTTAGTTTAAAATACTTAACTCATCTAACACCTTTTTATACAACCATGGCCGGTAAGAGATCGTGAAAAACCATAAACGGTTATGCATACAGATATTAAAGGTAAAAATCGATCAATGGGAGGCTGATGTTGTCAAAAGAGATTGGCGGACGATTGGAGAAACTGCCCCCCCCCCTCTCTCTTACTGGGGTGTCTGGAGAGAGGGGAGGGGGCTTTCTTCCTTTCTCAAGTTCGTTTCTCCCTCTCAAAACTAGTTTAAAACGCAGATCCAGACAACCAAGAATTTTCCCGTATACCTGACCCCTACATATTATAATACAAGTGTCTTCGTCTATTATTTCGTATGCTATTTGAAGAGAAAAGCTACCCCCCCCCCCCCGGACAAACAAAAAGATATTACAGGAATCCTGGACCAACTAGTGTAAACGAAAATAAAGCTGCCTTATCTCCGATCGGAAAAGGCTCTTTCCAATAACGCATTACACTTATCCATGCTTCGTGACTAGAAGCTAGAGATTGTCCATCTTTAATGATTTCATTACCGCTCATACATCCCGAGCCTTAATTACGAACCTGTTTTCCGGTTATTTGCGGCTTAAATGATTTCGTCGATTTTATTTTGAAAAATCTCTTGTTGCTAAATCACAGTAATTTGCCTTATCTCCTGGTGATATTTCATTTCTAAATTAATTTCCTAGGGGTGTTTGTTTCAATTCATAATACGACGCACAAATGTCCTTTTTTCATTTCTGGGAAATGGAAATAATAATTACTGTCGGCTGATCTATTGATGTGATTTGTTCTGCCGGACTCGTGTGCGCTGTCATTTCAATCAGATACGTCTACTGAATTGCTATTGTGATTTATTATATCGTTTGCCTGGGGAAGAGTTGTCGAATTTAATTCTGGTTTACGGGGCTGTTTACTTGCAATTTACATCCAGGTACCAATGGCTGCAGCCATTTATCAATGATGGCCGTAATTAGAAGTTTAACGCGTGGTTTGTCCAAGGAGCTGTAATGCCCCTATTTTACACATACCACGAATCCCACAAATTGCCAGGAATTGACAAATTTCAGGATTCGTGAGATTTTGCCAATTTTCTGGTCTAATTCGACACACCTACGATACAGGTGCGATAGTGTTAGGAATATTCGTGGGATTCGGCTAGAATCGCACGAACATTGTCCAGAAATTTACTACGATTTTTTGGAATCGGGAGTTCGTGGTTAAAATTTTGATCAGCTCAAATTTTTTGCCACGAATTCCCGATTGATCAAGAATTGCAAGAACTTACTACGATTATATACGAATCTGTTAAGAACTTTACGAACTGATTACGATTCAACCACGAATCCTGAAATTTGTCAATTCATGGCGATTCGTGGGATTTGTGGCCTGTGTGAAATAGGGGCATAAGCGGTCTCCTTGGTTCATTCTGGTCAATGGACTGTTTTGCAGTTCAAAATTTCACATTCACTTACAAACGCGCTCAGATCGTTTGATATATAACAAAAAGCGTATTTAACTTAACTTGCGGTTGTCTTTTTTTAATGGGACCTTTGGATTAGACCCAAAAGACAACGACAAATAATATGTTTGAATAAGCCTTGGGCCTGGATTACAAGATCTGATATGTTGTTTTCATTTTATTCCTGTGACCTGAAGCGATGTCTTTTTATCTTCGATAGCAGTGTGCTTAGACAGGAAGGAAGGAAGACCTCACACTTGATTTGAGCAATTATAAATGACGAGGAATCCTAATGGACAGAGTTTGTGAAGCAGCTGACACTTTGAACGTAATGGCACTTATGTTCTTTGTGAGTTACCTCGCGGTCACCCTAACATATACGCCTGAATATATGGAAATGGCCCATGACATTGGAAAAATGTTCTTTGTGCGTGTTTTGAAATATATAACAGAATGGAAATATTCACTTACTACCTGATTCGAAGGTGTCCTCAGTGCATTTTAAAAGATGAACGAGGAAACATATATGCAACGTATCAATACACTCCTGGGGAATTTTAAACTGTCAAGCGCATCTTAAAGAAAGAGAGAGATGTAATATAATAAACTTGGTATCAGATTTAAAACACATTGAGGCATCAAATGTCTGATCTTATGCACTTGGATCTCGTATGTATAACGTATAACCCTCCTACGCGTGGAATATATTTAGTCTCCTAGCCCCCGGCCACTGAAATGCCAAGTATGTTTTCTAGCCTCCTGCGCATTGAAGATCAAAGGCTATGTCAAAATCTCGTCTCTGAGTACATATCAAAAATTGCGTTGTCATCTTTTTAAAAGTCTGGTCTGTCTAAGCTCGGGGATGTCTTTTGTAGACGGTCAGGGATTTCAAAGCTGACTTTGTCGTTTTATTCTGTTCCAAAGGTATATGATACGAGAGGGGTTCTTTTTTTAATAATCTTGTAGTAATTAAGATCAGTCTATCGTTCAACAAGGTTCATTGATCTTTCACGGAGGTGACTAGAGAAAGGCGCAGAGTTTCACGGGTGTGAGCCAAAGATATGATTAGGAGTTTAGTCACCTAACAAAGTGCCTCTCCTTTTAAGGCTTTGTTGTTACTATGAACTAAAGATACTTACCTTTTATGAAATGTTCATATTGTTACATGTAGTGCCAAAGTAACGAAATGAAAACCCCATGTTAAAATATGCAAACATTTCATGGGATTTTCTTATTGTTAGAAAAAAAAGTAACAATAAAATCTATTAAGATATGCGCAAGAGGTATAAATATTTTGTTTGCTGTACTGATGGCTCGCGTATTATCACAATAACGAATGTGTTCATGTATCCAGCAGTTTTCATATTTCAGTGGATATTACAGTGATCTATGTAGTGCATTATGCGACTCTGTTTGTTCAGGATCTGGTTCATCTTTGGTGAGATGGAAGTGAATATCTCCGCTTGAACTTCCTTTGTGAAACCGATGGCACTTTATATTTTATATGCTACGTATTATATACATGTGCTATTTTCACGAGCATGATTGAAAATTATAAAATAATGTGTTTGATGCGTGTCGTAAATTGTTGATTGCACGCACCAATATAGCGTGTGAATTTCAGTTATTAACGGGCACTTTTTCTAGCGTCATTTATCTCAACGGTCATAGAGCCAAATGAAAGTAATTGTCTCTAATGATTTGGACATAATCACGAAGATTGACACCTGATATTTATCATCCATCGCAGAAATGCGTCAAACCCGCAGTGTATGACGTCATAAATGTTGTGTTTTGACTTTTGGAACGACCAGTGTTTCCTGGCATGAGGGGCGTGGGTTGAAAAATGTATATGTGTGTGGAGGGGTGCGGGGTAACAAATTCAGAAAAGAATATTGACTGGGTAAAGGACGACAAATCACCTTCTGTGTTAGACAAGTGTGACAACCCCATAGAATACGCACCAAAATCCGTGCTTTTTTTATAAAACCATTTTCTTTTTACACTGTTTTAAAACCAAGACAAACAGTCGTTGTTATTTGATGTACGAAAATAGCCATTACTTCTGATTAGTTAGTTGAACGTGCTCTGATTGGTAAGGGACGGCTGTTCCCTCTTCCTCCCCCTGCCTAATTAGCACCTTTGAAATCTTCATCGCAATGGGGTTAAAAGTACCCGTGGGCGAGTAATTAAATCAATTTTGGCTACAGCCGATGCTGGTTGGGACAGTGCCCCCACAAGGTCCTAAGATTTTTGGGCGGATGCTATTTTGATGCAACATGGTGCCAAATCTACTGCACTAGAGGTTTGCTTTGCTTGTCTCTACAATTATATGGAATCACGTCGTCTGTTATAATTTGCCAAAGGAGTTCGTTCGCATGTCCTGAGCAATTGGTTATCACAGGAAACCCAAATAACTTTTCATGTTACGTCGCCTGAAAACCCCATTCTGAAGAGAAAGGAGAATACGTCTGCCTTTCTTACCAACCTAAAATGTGGCGATTTGAACTCGAGCCTAGAGTATTCTTATCACAAAAAGCAGCAAATTGGTCCCTTTAT